TTACTTGTCTGCCTATCGGTACTGTATCTTTTTATTATGCAAATACAGGTGGTGTGTGTGTCTATGTGTGTATCTAGAAATTATGCAAATATCAGTGGGCCGATTGCGCCTTTGTGAATTGCAAGCCAATTTAATTTGTGACATTTGCTTAGACAATTTTCTCCATAAGAATTTCGAACTTACTTGTCTGTCACTGGAAGTTTGTTCCTATACCCTCTATACGTTCTTCTCAAGATTTTTCCACTGTGTTTGTGCGTGTGTGGGCCTGGGACTTGAGCTAGTTGCCCCAAGGAACTTGCGTCTACATGAAACAATTAAACTCAACATGCATTTATGTCAAGTTATTCGCGCTGCGCCTGCAATTAGAGAGCAAACCAACTCCAAGTGGGCAAACTGCAACGCATGATCACTGGGCAGTAAATTAACCCGCACTTCCATATGGTTACAGCCACGGTGCGACAGCTGCAGTTGTAAATTTGATTTTTATGGCCAGAAACATGTTGCCAATTGCCAGCAACTGGCTTGGCCAGACCAAAAAAAAGAAAAAACCACCGACGACACAAAAAATAGCGGCAAAAAATCAGTTTTCCGATATCTGTCACCAGTCATCGAAAAGGATACCTTGCCGACTTTTGAGGTGTTAATTTGGCCACATGCCGAAAGCCATGGCCATAAATTCATTTCGTGTTCATGTCGCGTGCAATTAGCCGGGCCAAAATCTCTAGTTGCCGATTCTTGATCAATGGATTGTTGAGTAGAGAATTTTAGGAATGGATTTTTTAATGTTAATAGAATTTGTGGTTAAGATTGTTTAACTTTTTTGCTATGTTTTACTATTTTAACTTTGAAAAACTATTTACTAGAATTCTTTTCTTACTAGAAATATATATAAATCATTTCCAACACGTAGCATTGAACAATATTTCCTCGATCAGCTGCATCTTAATTACTTGGCTGGCAAAAGACAAAATAAAGAAATACCAAAATTTCAATTTCAAAATTCAAAGCTGAGGCCTGGGCATAAAATCCAGTCTCAGACTGAATCCCAGTCGAAGTCTGTCTTGTCCAGCAAGCAAATCGTGACAATCATGACAAAAATCGAACGGATGTTTGAAACGAACAAATGCAAAAAGTATTTTTGTTTGTGCTTTGTTTCTGTATATTTTTGGCTGGTAATTTATCACAAAATCTAAAGAAAATAAAAGATTTTGAACCTATAATTTTGAGGCTGGCGAATACAACAATAAATGCCATAAACAATAATTCATAATAAATTGTCATTTGACGTGTTTGAAATGTATTGGCAATTAAAAACGCAATTGAAACGAATGGAGTGAGTGGAGAAGGCTGGGACAGATCGGCGCTCCTTGGTGCAGTGAATCGCTTTTGGGAGTTATATATTTATGAGTAGCAGCAATATTTTGGAGTTCATGAACCTAACTTTGGGTGTGTAAAGTTTGGTCATGATACCCAGCCAAATCAAATCAAAGGCAAGGCAACTTGAGTTAAAAAGGGGCTAGGGCTATAGGTGAATTATCAGTTTTGATGGAAATATATATTTTAGATAGATATTTTCTGTTTTTAAAATGAAGTCTTGGAACTTTTTTCTTCAGAACTTTTTTTACATTTATAACTATAAATTTGTACGATATTAGATTATTTTGCAATTTATTTTATTTCTAAAGAAAACTGGTCTTTCAAGAAACTGTGCCCTTATATTTTTCTCATTTTTGTGGTGTCTCTCAAAAATGCTGATTAAAGGTCTTTTTTGTGTCGATTTTGTTGCTGATTCCCGTTGTCCCAGGCCCGCCCATTCTCAATTTATTTTGTATTTTTTTTTGTTCGAATTTTGCTTGCCCCTTTAATTTGTTGTTGTTTTTGAGTTGCATGTTGGGGACTGGAGTTGAGTGCAGTTTGCTTAGGGCGTACTTAAATACCGTTATTTTAATAAACGCCGTTTGCGCATGCGCAGCCTGAGTTGGCCCTGTTTCCTCAGTTTTTTTGGGCTACTTTTTTTCCTGTGTTGCCCCAAAAGACTTTCTTCACATAAAAGAAATTGAATTACTGCTGATGGCAAAAGGCCAAAGATTTGCTTTTTTTTTTTTATTTTGCACTAACTATGGATGTTGATTTGTGGAGAGGGGGCTGGTTGAAAGGAAGTGCCTCATAAAGTATGCCATTTGTTTTTCGTAATATTTATTTTCTTTGCCCATTGCATAGAAGCTTTGTTTGTTTATTTTCGCTGCGTTCTGTTTGTCGCCTTTTTGCATAAACATTTATGCAAATGTGAATTGCCTAATTGACGGACAAGAGCCAAGTGCCTTGCCTTTTCCTAAACGACAAATAAATAAGAGCCTAAAGTTGAGAGTTCAGACTATCCGATACCTGTTAGGTTAGCTGCTTGGTAACTAAATAAGTTGGATATTTTAATGGTGAAAGGTTACAACTGATGAATTTTGTGGATAGAAAGACTTATAAAGAGCCTATAACCTAGATTTCATAGAATAGAATATACCCTTGTTCTCTACAAATACCGAGTATAAAATCCATGACAGTGACCAGGCATTGTCTATGCTGGCAGCGAATTACATTTTACGATCGACGATCAGCAAATCGAGTCGAGTGACAGCTCCACATTTTGTCAGCTCTGTCGGCGGCGGAACCCTCTGATTTGGAACGACCTTGAGCCTTTTGTGCGGCCTAATAGAGTCGGAGTCCGCCGCCCCTTACCCAGAGAGGGGTTCACTCAATTATCTAGATATACGCGTTATAAAGTGATCTAATGAATTTACTTTATGCGTGTTTCATTTGATGTTGATTGTCCGATAAACATTTTATTTCGCTTTTTATTACCCTAGCCTGCTGCTGATGCTAGTCGTTTTTGTTGTTTGTTTTGAGTGAAAGTAATTTGTCGATTATATGTTTTTTTTCAGTTTGGTGCGACTGACACGCCTAGATACTTGGCACGTCATGTGCTAAGAGCTAAGTCCCAATAGCCGGTCCACAGATTCTCTGACTCATCCAAAGAAAGTTTAAACGAATGCTTTTGAGGTTGTTAATTCTTTGCCTTTCCCAAAAAAAACTACCAAACTGATGATCATCATGATCATGGCGGTGATGAACGTAAATATAGTTGTAGTCATCAGGGTTTTATGTTTGCCTTATGCCCACAGCCACTAATTTAGTTGATCGTTTTGCAGCAGGTGAGGAGAAATTTCTGATTGGGCGTGGTTAAAGATGGGCTGGCCCTAAATTATCCAAGTTGATATCGATCAGATTGTTTAATCATGGAATAATTTAGTACCAGCCTTTGGTAAGTGAATAAAAACCAACGGATTGAGATTTCCCAACAAATTGGCCCATCTTCTTTCCTATCTCTATCATTGATCAGATCTCCTCGTTGATTCCACTTGAGTTCATAGCAATGGACAAATTGTTTTGCCTTATATAGGTGGGTATCATTGAGCTCTATCCCAGGGACCAATCGATATCATTATTTATATCGCTCTGAGATCACAGCAGACTGCAATTCCAGGCCATTTACATGATCACCTGAAGAAGATGCACGCCCATGGAATTGGAATTGGAAGACGGCATTGACAGGCGGAATAAAGGCAATCTTCCATTTAATAACCAATTATCATTGATCAACTGCACGCCCAGTCCCCAGAGATCAAGGAATACCAAAAGACAGAAGAACGAACGAGAAACGAATGCACTGGCCACTGACCACTGAGCAATATCAATTACGAATTACATCTGATTATCCGCCTCTGCCTGGGAATTGCCATTGCCTTTGCCATTGCCATGGTCGCGATCGTGGCTCCAGCTCTTAAGATTCAAGATTCGAGATCCAAGAACCCAGATCCAACTCCCGCCTGGGGGCCGTGTGTGTCTGATTAGCGCATAAACAAGTTAATGCCATTGATGATGACGATGCTGAGCCACCTGAACAGACGCCAAGTGCATTGCAATGGGCCGACTGACTGGATGCGTACGTGGTGCGATGTTATTGTTTTCTTTGGCAATCCAGAATCAAAAACTGCTGGCCCAAGATAAATGGGGCTGCCAGGGACAGGGGCACCTCTCAGATAAGGCCAACTTCTGGCCTGTTTGGGAGTCTCAGTGCGTCGTCTTCGTCGTCGTCGTCGCTGTCCGTTGACAACAAGAACAACTGGCGGCGGCTCCACAAGCTTTTGATCTTGACTAAGTTTTAGCCGCCGAAGCCGTCGCCGACGCCGATGGCAAAAGCCTTTACCATGTTGAACTTTCCCAGTTTTGTCGTCTTCCTAGAATATGTATCTCCTCCGCCCGTTACTATTTGCCCAACACTTTTCAAGGCGGACAGGGGGTGGTGATATGCTAATGTTGTTTGGGCAGCCAAAAGTCAAACACTGTTTGTTGACGTTACCTTGAATTCGTAGGGAAACAAGCAACACAAAGGCCCCAAAGCTATAGCGAAGATGTATAGTAAACAGAGATGTTTGAGATATGTCATGTGTTTAGAGCGGACGGCACTTGACATCATAGTTAGGGTTCAATTGCTCTCGGTTCTCGTCTGGATTGTCGACTTATTTACTCGCATAAATTGCAGAAGATGTGAATGAAATACTCAGTAAATGGGTTATTTATATGAAGTGGATCTTAGCTATAGGAGTAGTGTGTGTATATAAACTCTAATTTATGTTTGCATTATTTAGTACCGTCTTTTAGTCTGTTTTTAGCCTTTATGATTTCTGGGAAAAAAAAATTCGTTCTAATGTAAATTTATAAATTCTAGATAAGTTTGTTTAGTGTATTTTGGGAGTCACCCTCCCGAAAAGTCTGGGAATGATTTAATTCGTGGGGCATTAACGTGGACAATTGTCTGTGGGAGTGCTGTGACTTGTGTGCTCCTATGCAAATGAGGGGACAATTATGCTGATCAGCGCTAATTGAGGGAGCCATAATGACCCACAGAGTGACTAACCCAGTTCCGTTTGCATCTTTCTCATCCACAGGTTGCCCGGCGACGACGAGTTCCCATTGCCTGCGATGCAACAAGGCGGGCTGCATCAAGTGCCCAATGTACCTGGTGACGGACACGAGGCAGTGCGTAGATCAGTGCCCCGCTGGTTACTTAGATCAGTGGTCTGCCCACACGGAGTTCATGGGCAAGGTGTGTGTACCCACCGGCTATTCTGGACCACTGATGGCCGCTCTGGCAGGTCTTCTTGGTGGTTTCCTAGTTTGTCTATCCCTTCTGGCTGTGGCCGTAATGTTGGTCAAGAGGAAACGTCGGCGAAAGTCAATCAAACAGAAGCTCATCAACGAGAATACCATGGATCGGGCGGATTTTCATGAGGCAGCTGAACGAGATGCGTCCGAATGCAGAGTACTTTCTGGCCATGTTGAACGACACCCGACGACAGATCAGGAAGCTGTATCTGTCGGGCGAGGTCGCGGCTGCCAACTCCTACAGGCCTATTGTCCGGGACCTGGCCAAGCTGCTCATCCTGCTGAATAGGCCTATTGAGTTGATTCCAGCCCCGCCACCAGATTGGTCCAGGCTGTATGCCTGGTCGGAGCAGGCTCTGGAGCGATACAAGCCACAGGTGGGCCAGCTTATCGACTTCTTCCAGGCCTCTCATGGTCACAGTGCTGGTCACCATGAGGCGCTCTACGCTGCGCCGGCTAAGAAGAAGCAAATGCAGCAGGCCAGTATCTTCCGGCAACAGGTGACGCCGACGGCGACGCCGCAGGGAGTGGGCGAACTGATGGCCGGCGATCGGAACAGTAATGCCTCGGCGCAGCAGAAGCTGCATCTGTTTGGCTCGCTGATCAGCCTGCACGAGTTCGAGGAGCCACGGGCCTCGGATCCCTTTGGCAGCAGCTTCAACACGCTGAAGAGCGGCAATCTCATCTCTGATCTCAACGCTAGCTCGCTGTGGCTGGAGGACGAGTTCTACAAGCTGGGCTTTCGACCGCAGGACGAGATCACAACGGAGCTGTAACCGCATCACAAAACTCACACTCAAAACTTAATGTAAAAGAAGTATTATCCCGACTGGCGGCGCTAGACGTTTCAGTCTAGTGCCAGTTCAGCTGGGGAAAAGAAGCATTTGCGTGCACATTCCGCCAGGCCATCATAATCATCATCATCAACTTCAACTCCATCGACGAGCTAACTGGGAGGCCATTTAGCCGGAGCCGCTAAATGCCCACGTTTAGAGCTTAGTTAGATCAGTTAAGAAAGCAAACTAGTCACGTAAAATCACAAACAAAACCATCAACACATAACGATGCCTTGGAGAAGGAGCAAATGCAAATGGAAATCGCGTGGAAATGAATTTAGTTTTATGGATTTTACAAAAATCGCAACAATCATGTAACGAACAATATTCAATATACACACTATAGAGATACTATTCAAATAATAATTAAGTTGTTTAGCGTTAGAAAAGCGATACTTATAGCTATAGCTTACGTAGACAGAGATTATAAAGCTTAGTGAATACGAAATGGATAATAAAATCGTGTGCCTTAAGAGCGTAAAATGTGTAATGTGTGTAACAATTTGTATTATTAACCAGGCGCCGTCATCCGACCAAGTCAGCCAACGCTAAGGCTCCTCGTACTTCCAGAGTATGTCGGGTTCTTCCTTGATCTTAAAGTCACCATGTCATGTGTCTTCTTTAATAGTTTCCGATGGGACAACGGGCTCGGCCACTACCTTCCGCTCGTTAACTAGCCTAGACAACTCTTTGGCATTATATCCGATCAGCAGCTTCAAGTCACAGTCAAATTTGTAAGCAAATCGCTTGCCGGACACCTTGGAGATCATATCTCCATCGTAATAATAGCGGAGAGCCCTAGATAGCTTTTCATAGTTCATGGCGGGTTTGTTTTTCTTCTCGCCCCAAAGACGGGCCACTCGATCAGGATCACTGAGCTTGAATTCTCCTTCGGTGCCTACCCACTCAATAATGTCCGTGTGCTCGCAGTCAGTGAGTATTTCCAGTAGGAACTGCCACAGCTGCACTTGTCCATTATTGCCCGAACCAATGGTAGTGTAATTGGTGGGACTCATAGATGCCGGCGAACTTTCAACAGCTGTAAATACAACGATTAAATTTGAGTTTTAGACAGGAATTCCCTTCTACTTACAGTCTGAACCTTTAACAGTCTGGTAAGATTTTCGCATTATCCTCTGCTCTAAAGAAACCGATCCCGAAGTTGTTGTTATGGCGGTGGCTGACATAATCCTGGGCTGCTTGGGTTTTCTTTGCTCTTCTACCTGTTTATGCACTACGGATACAAAGTTGCATTCCTTGAGCAATTGTAGGTGCGTCCAGAAGACATTGCCCGGATCACGGGGCAATTTCAAGCTGAACTCCTCGTGCGTCATGGCGCACAGCTCCTGACCGTTGATCTGCCAGTCGCTCATATTGATGCCACGTAGCTCGAACTGCTTGATAGCCCACTCCAGCCAATGGGTTACGTGAGCCTGCGTCCATTCGATAGCTGCCTCCGGTATTTTCAGGCGGGCTTGTTCCCGCTTAAACTTGCTGTCCAGCACCCAATTCAAAACTGGTTTAACATCTTTGCCGGTTTCCACGAATTCCTCTTCTGAGTCTTCTTTGTGCTTCCGTTTGATCGGCGTTTTAATAGGACTTTCGCTGGAGGAGCTCTTCTGACTAGCTGTTTCCGGTGGGGAGAGTTGGGCCACGACCTCCTCAGCCAAAGCAGCGAGGGCGGCTTCCGTGGGCTTGAGAACATCGGCGATATTTATGCGTTTTCGTATGGTTTGGATTTGTACGTTGATTTGCACCAGGCCCTCGCCCTTGACGCACTGATCTACAAGGTTTTTGTGTGATTCTAGCTCCTGTGCATCCTGCAGCCAAAACGTGTAGTAATTTAGGCAGACCCCTATCTTTTGTTCAACAAGTGATCTGGTATAGAAAGAAAAGAGGTTATTTTTATCAAAATTAAGGGTTATCTTTACCACACTTACTTGAGCATGCTGAGTGGTTCCCGGATGTCCATGTGCACGATGATTATATCGTCCGGTTCCGCCTCCGTTTCCACATCGATGCTATCCTCAAAGATTTCGCTGGCGATCACCTCTTCTGGAAATTGTTTACAATTAAAAAACGGAGTCTCAACAGGTGCGTCCCAATTGGAAATATAAGTTTTTTCACTTACCCAAGGCTCCGCCAACGCTAAGGCGGCGTATTAACTCGTCCGACAAGTCAGTACTGCTGTCCATCGTGTTTTTCTTGCGTAAAAAACCGCCAATATTTACTAATTTTGTATTATTTATTTATCTCGTGGATTTATTGTTGCATTAGAGGTGGGGTAGCTCACCAAAGTATCTGTATATCGAATATATCGATAGTAAACGATTGGCATGATGACAGTGTGACCGTGTAAATACAATATAATTAAAAAATACTAGACCAGGGCTCCGTTCTTTACTACCAGTGCTGTCACCTATTTTCTTGCTTTAAGTTTGGCGGTTCTTTTGAAAATAATAAAAAAGATATCTAGGACCGAAAGCAGTTGGCTTAAAATATTAAGAATGAAAAATGGCTTACAAAAGCAACAAATACTAATTAAATCAATCAATTGCTCACTATAAAAACGTATTTTTTATATCTTATATTTATAGTTTTTTGTTCATCAAAAAACCATAAACAAATTTATTTTCCTATTTAAATTTCGCTCACCATAGACTATTAATATGTTAAGTCTAACGATCTATAAAAATTAACAATCTTTTGGATGACAAATATTCGGTCGCCCCTAAAGTGATTTCCAAGAAAAGCAATCGAAATTAATTGAGGAATTCAATTCGCAACAGTAAGTTGATAAATAAGCCAAAGTGACGGCTAGCACCAATTTTTAGTAAAAGTCAACCACTTAGTTCTACCAGTTGATCCGCCTATGAGACATCTACTTGCTAATAAGTGGTTCGCTCTTCATTTAAGATATTAGTTTGGAAAGCCAATTCGCAGACACAATTGGCAATGTTTGTATGAAGGCCTTCACTAGGAAGTACTTCGTTCGCAATTCCAAGTGAAGTGGCAAAGTACTTCTCATCTTGAGCTAATGCTGATTAAATGCCCCGTAACACGATCAGTGGGTCAAAACGGTGGGACAAAGAATGCCAATTGTGTTATCTATCTTGACGGGTGGGACAGAGGACAGCCTCAAGTGCACATCGCACTTGTTAACACAAGCGATTTTCCATGTTCCGAGATATAGACAAAGTTGGCTCCCGGCCTGAATAGTACAGAGTTCGGAACATTACCTCATTGTTGACTCAGTTGGCGTGGATGAACGATATTTGTTTGTGAATATTTCGCTTAATATATAAATGACAATATATAAACTTGATAAAATACCGCTAGAAGTGATTCCATGCCTTCCAGGAAAATTTTAGCACATCATCCTCACATACCCTTGCAACCTTGCAACCTTGCAACTCCATTTTCCCTTTCCGTTTCGTGTCTGAAACATAAAAGCCAATAAACTAGAGTGCGGGCTCGTTTTGTTTGATGACAAACTGAGCTTTGTTTATTTGTATGCCAAGCTGTTGACTAATATTAGCCAGCTGGCCAAATTCAGGCGCTTCAGGTCAGTTTTTTTCTTTTTTGGTCTTTCCAGTAATTGAAGTTGAGTCATTGTCAATGTCATCTCACTTGGGTTGGATATTAATAGATGTGATAAATTAACTTTCTATCTCTGTCATTATACACCGAAAACCTTTATTACTCATTGTATGCTAATAAGGGGTAATCTCATTACAAGTTAAGTATACGCCGCATTGACCTTACTAGAGATAGAAATCTAGGCAGACCGAAAATTGTCTAGGTCATGATATCCAGTTGCAGTGGGGATATAAACAGATACCCAACAGCCATATGGCTGCCCAAAAAGATTACAATGACAACGGGGAAAACTCACATAAAACCAATACCCCTCCATACACCATAAAACTATGCGCAGTCATTGCGGCGCCTCCGACTGCCAGAAATTCCCATATAGCCGGCTGCCAAGGACCATCGAAAAGAAACGTGGCTACAAAAAAACAACCCCTTGGGGTTTTAGCCTCTGGATTATTTGTCGGCCGAGCGTTCAACTCCACGAGAATTGCGTCACTGGATGGCTAGAATTAAATCAATAGGGACAACTCCCACGCGGAGCGGTAAAGTGGAGCAGTAGCAGCACCCGGGACTTGGAGAATTTGCATTTCCGTGGCCCATACAGAATGGCTAGTATTTGGGTCGTCGAAGGATTGCAAGGACATTTCAAAGGCGGACTCAAAGCATAACTCAGCGGGCTCGTCGTTTCCGTTTCATAATTTTTCGTTTTTTAATTAATTGATATTTTGGACTTGAGTTATGGTGCTTTTTGGCGGACTACACCTAGAAACCGTCAGACGAATTAAGGCCAGGATATGAGCTCGTTTGTGACCCGCTTTTTATTGGTTTTTCGAACAAGTCTGAATTATTTATTAGCCAGTTGAAGGCAGTGCAGTCACGTTATTGATGAACCGTTTAAGTGGTTGGAAAAGGACATTGATTTTGTCGCCTGAAAAATGGCTGTGTACTTAAGGCTTTCTATCACCTTTTAGCTATTTCCGATATTATAAATTTACCATTTCAAGTTTTGAGTCATTCTTGGGTTTTCAATTCAAAAAAATTAATATTCTGAGACTGTGTCACCAAAATTCGGCAGGAAACACATGTTCAGCTGATTGACTAACGATTACGGATGGTCGATCTGAGTCATAAAGCACGTAGCTTATTTGGTGAGATTTGTTGTTAACTTTTCTTTATATTTTTACTATGGTAAATTATGCAAAGATGTAAGACTATATAGAGCTTTCTAGAAGATTAGGGTGCCTTCTTTTGACGCAATAATATCTTATACCCATTTCTTCAAGAAACTGTAAATTAGTTTTGCATTGGAAGAGTCCTCTTCACTGATATCGTTATCTTCAGTGGAACATTTTATTTGAGGCGCAGGCAACCGCTTGGAACATGTTTGAATGCAGAAAACTTGAATGAATACTTTATTTTGACAAGAAAAATGAGTACAAATAATGAACAATTTTCAATTTGCTTTATATTATAACATAAATTATTTTAAAAAATTTACAACATTTAAAAATTATATTAAAAGAAAAAAGTTAAATCTAATCTGTTATTTCTTAGCAAACTCTATTTTTACTTTATTTAAGCTAGAAATAAGTTCCATATACAAGGGAATACCATTTCTATTCATTTATATTTTAATTAAAATTCTTAAGCTTTTTACTCAAATTTTGTGGAAGTGTGTAAGTTCGTGCCGGCACGTGTTGGCTCTCGAACTCATACAAGTTCGCTGTCAGCTGGCTAGCTGGTTACTCGGAATCCATTTCAATATTGAACGACAGTCGTCTAGCGCAATTGAAACTCGACGGTTTTGTGTCTTTGGTCCGCGCGTGAAACCACAATATAAAGTTAAACAAAAGTGCCGACCGCTAGCGAGTTTTGTTTTTGGCCAAAAGCGATTGCTATAACGCTTATTTGATTAAGTACGCCAGTTTCGTTACCTTTTTTCGTTATCTCTAAGAGAGTGCGTGCGTGTGCGTGCTTTTTGCTTTTGTTGCTACTACTGCTGTTGAGTGGGCGGAATTCGGTGTGTGGGCGTTTTGTTTGCCATTTAGAACACAATTTCAGCGTTGGCTGAAAACTAGTTAGCCTGGCATAAAAGAAACACACACGCTCGAATCTACCATTAAAAATTCAATTTCTTTCATACGTAAAACAGCCAACAAAAGACCGGCAAATCTAAATTTAAAAATTTGTAACAAAAATAACTAAAAAAACAACGACAACACATATGCATGCGTGACATTGCCCCTGGCGGCCAAAACAACAATAGCAAACAAAATCTAGGCGGTTTCCATCGATTTGCATTCGTTTTCCCTTCGCTCTAATCAAAATCAAAACCACACACACACGCACTCATAAATGCACGCTATCAACAATCAAAGTGTAACGGCCGTTTGTAAAGTTTCGTAAATTCCAATCGAAACATAAATTAATTTATAAATTTCTTGTTTCATTTGGGAAAACAGCTTGAAAAATCACAACAAATAAATACATGTACTGCAACCAATAAGAAAAGCCAGACAAGTGGAAAATCAAACGAGGTGAGTTTGGCAATCGTTTGAATTGATTTTTGATTTGAGATTGGGAGGAGAATGTTGATGGGTGTTGGGGATTGAGAATCCCGAAATGACCCGGACAATTATTGATTTTGCAGGCAAGTGTCCTTCGGCCGAATGCAATGCCGGTTCCGAGTGCTCCGCAGCAGCTGAAATTTCCCAAGGACGCTGCCTGTGCTGCAGTGCTTGAACTTTTCACCTCCTGACAAAAAGCCACCACCCCCACTTCCGCTCTCCTCCAAAACAGCTGGGAAAATTCTCTCTCTCTCTCTTTTGCTTGCTTCGCCGGCATAATTTTCCGCTTTTGCATGTTGCAACAGCCAGTGTGTTTTCAATTTCAATGCAACGCCGAACAAGTGGCAGCAGGCTCTCTTAGCCGGCGCTTGAATGCGGCACGTGGGTGGTTCTTGTGGTGCCCCGAAAAATGGTGTGGGTGTCCAGACCTGCACCACCATTGCGAGTACGAGGGCCATTTAGGCTCCCATCGAGCAGCACTTGTTTGCCTATTCAGAGTGGGTCCATTTGTGTATCAAAATTTCATCTTGAACTTTGTATTTTATGAAGAAATATCTTTAGTAACAAAAATGTCATTTAAATACTTTTTTATGAAGGGCCTGTTTTTCCTTTGTAATATTAACAAAATTTAGACGTTTCGGTCGTTTTGGAATAGTTTTCCAAACTTTTCCCACGGTGTATCGGAAAATGCAATTCGCGTTTAAGCCTTTGGGCAAGTGGGTCGCCTACCAGCGACTTCTGAAAGCTCCTGCAAGTTTTATAAACTACATTTACACCGAGCCCACTCAATAAATTTGCCTTTGTTAATTTCTCGCTGTTTTTTTTGCGCTGAACATTTTGCATTAATTAAGTTTCAATGGTGCCCAATCAGGCGGCAATCAAGTACAGTGGGCACTTTGAGACAAGATCGCACTGCCTGTGAGTACATATTTCAGTTTTATTGGGTGTAGAGCACTTCTAATTTAACACTAGAGCGATTTTGTCGGCCTTTCAATCAGATTTCAGCCAATATAAGCATACGAGTATGCCAGGTTTTAATTAGATAGAAGTCCTGCGATAAGCCACACAAAATGCTGTGAAGTGCGCCAAAAAAAATACAATATATATATATATATATAAAAGGGGCTCGTTGTATCCGGGGTATTGTCATGTCTGTTTGGTGGAGGGGTTCCCTTATCTTGTTATTTGATTTCCATTTGGGCATGAGCTCATCGACGGCTGCAGATTCAGTTTCGCACTCAGGTAGTTCGACCAGCAAAAAGATCAAGTTCCCTAGTTGGTAGACTTTTACCCCCGAAGAATCCACCCTCCGAAATTTTCTGGTTTTTCTTCTCTGCGGCATTGATTTCATATTAATTCTCCCTTTTGGCGCGTGTTTTCAATTTACTTTAGTTGAATTGCCCTTCGATTGTGTCGTTTATTTGGGTAAAATAAATTATCTTTATGGGTTTTTAACCCCTTCTTGATTGTTATTGTGTGATTTAATTCTTTCCCCGCTCTTCTATGGCTGCATTTCGAAACGGGGCTATTTGCATAATTGCATTTGCCGTACATATAGGGCGTCACAGCTCTTTCCACTCTAATTTCAGGCCATATTTTCACCCATGTATATACCACCCATGGAGTTTTAGTTGATTGCAGCATTTTGTGGTTTCCCGTCGGTTTTCATTTGGATTTTCCCCCCTCTGATGGATTCGGCTTACCTTTTTTGTGGTTTCTCACCTTGTTGGGACTTAGGGGAAGTGAAAGGGAAGGATGAGAAAGTCTGAGTCTCATATATTTAATTTTTACACAAGAAAACTCCAAAATGTTAGAAAGGCATTCTCAAACGTATATCTTCCAGATGCGTTTTTCTATATTTTCCGCAAAGGTTCATTCATTTCCACCTACCAGCCTAATTTTTTCATACATTTCTGTGCACTTCTGCCTTAAACATATGGAGTATATAACATTGTGTTATAGTTCACTATCGCATCGCCCTTTTCACGCAATATGTAATGCTTTCTTGCGCTGGTTGATAGCCTTTTTATTGCACAATTCAGGCGTAATGTTTATTTTTTGTCTAGGTTCAGGCCCCTCGGAAAATTGTTGCTAGTTTCATGAGTCATTTGATAAGAACAAATGATAATTGCGGCGCTGTTGCTACGAAAATAACAACAATTAAATGAGCCAGAGCACCAATTTTTATGCTCGTTAAAAAGAGAGAACAAAACAAAAATTTAGGGAGAGCCGAAAAGAAAACAAAACTATTTCAAGTGCAAAGTGAGGCAAAACATTCCTCGCCCACCTTTTCAATAGGGCGGTGGGTGGTTGTGGGTGTGGCGAAATTTCCCAAGCCGCTCGACAAGTTTTCCACACTCTCATGCCATCGCTCTTGGTCTCTCTTTCTGGCCTTTATTCAAGAATTATTCATACACGAGAGTCTATATGCAATATCAAACAAACACGCAGCTGCTGTAGAAAACGCATAAAATTTTTAAATTTTTGTTGCCACCTTCAAGGTCACCGAATATCGTTAAAATGCTTGTCGTCGGTTTGAAGAACCAGAAAACAGAAAGCATTTGTTTGCCATTAAGCTATACGTGCACAGATCGGCTGCCTCTCTATATATACATGTGCATATATATGACGAAGTCGAATGTCGGAACATAAAATTGAATACTAAATATGTGAACGAGAAGTCCATTCATTCATATACCTCACATGATTGATAAGGAAGGCGGCCTGATAAACTTTTTGCCTAATTCTCTTTGACTTTGGCTAGGCGTTATGAATATTAATAGCTCGATGACGTCAGCAAGTGCATTTGACAGATGACACAACAAAAGATCAAATTCAAATGAAAGGGCAACCAGCTGAATGAAGATGAATGGGTATCGGAATAAAAAGGGCCACAGATAGAAATTTCGAATGCACTAGAGGAAAATTTGGAAAAGTGTAGTTTTCTTAATATGGTATTTATATTGGTATATATGGTATTTCAAACTATATTTTACATTTCTTTCAATCTTAAATTAGCCCATATAACATCAACATCAAACGTTTTCTTATTCTCAACATTAGGAATATTATTTCCTCAAAATTAGTCTATTTTTTTAATTAGCCAGAAACTGAAATATTTCTTAAAACTAACATTGAAGGTGAAAGAGCTAAAGTTACAAAAATAATCACAAATGAGGCGGCAGTTTTCTCATTACCACCGAAAAGCTGACAAACATGGGCTGTCACAAGCATTTGACATTTTCATTTGACTTAGTCAGCGGACAGACGAAAATAGCAGCAACCACCTGCAGCACCCAGGGCGTAACTAATTTGACATACCAAACAGAAGGGATAGAGAATGGTGTATGGGGGACTTCCCCGAAAACTGCATATATATATACATACATATATCCATCAACTGGTCGAGGGGTCAGAAGCTCAACAACCGTCATGCAATGGCGTTAAATTTTTATGCGTGCTATGAAATTATGACAGAGGCTTTATGGGAGGGAGGTTGCGTTGCAATTGTGGGTGTGTTTTCACCATTTGTTGGTCACGCAATGCAGATGGAAAAGTTGGAGTTTTCCGACTCAAGATAGCTGGCCAGAATTCGCTATCTTTCATGGCATAATAATAGTAGATGGCAATGTAAGGCTTACACCTTTCTGCCATGACATCAACTTAGTAGCGAGCAAGGCCTTATCTATACGGAGACATCATCGCAATTTATTAGATTGTGTGCTCTTAAGTTTATCGCCTAAATTAAATATTTTTGTAATCTGGTGTAATTGTTTAAGAGGTGAATCATGGCAGAAAGATAGCACCCAAAGGAAATGATCTTTCAGTAATTACATTAAAATATTGGACATGTAAATTAAGAAAGTAAACAGTAAAACAACATTAATACTTTGAGAGATATACAATATATAGCTCGTTAGTTCTTTATAAATTCTTAATCTTGATTAATTACATTTTCTAGATAAAGTAAACTAGGTTAAGTTCTTATAATTACGATTGAGCTTCTTAATTGCAAATATCATTTTACTTTTATACTTGTAATTTCGACTCTGAAGTTACTTTTGTCATTGACTTTCAAAACCAATTCGTTTCTAATATCAATATCCAGTGCAACTCACACCTATTCGTAGACCGAAAGACCCAATAACCTTGAAACGATACTAGGCTTACGTCACACGGGTCCACAAATAGAGCCAAAAAAAAAAAGCTAGCGGCTAATGTCCGGCTCTGAAACATTAACCCACTACCACCCCCGTGGACGCACAAGTGACAGCGATGAATGTCACCGAGACTTTTGACGGCAGCTCCTCCATTGAATGAACACGAAATTGGAGCGCACGCTTCGTTCGCCGATAAAAGCGAAAAAATATAGTGAAATAAAATAGATATGGAAACAAATTCGGATGATTTACGGCTCCTTCGATAGTACCAATGGCAGGTTGCTTGGCCATTGGCCACTGGCCACTCATCAGATCACCTATAAAAATAGACAAGCAAAATAAACGTAAAGGCGGAAAAAGTCGAGGAAAACTTTTGTGGGGGAATCAAACAAATAATTCTGAACAAATAAACGGACATTTATTTAGAATCCGCATTCTAGAGGCCAGCATGTGGGAAAGATAACACCTCAGCCAAGTCTAGAAAAGTGCTAACTAAAAATCTTTATTGGCTAATTTGAATGACCAAAAATGTGCAAATGTTTTGGTTCAATTAAAATGCCATTTCGAATAGTTTTGGGTATATGAGTAAAGATGCTTTTTGGTTTTCAGAAGTCGAATATTTGTATACTCTTGAATAAGAGGTTATTCAATCAGCATTCAATTCATTCATTGTTAAGTAATGATACCTATTTTAAAATGCTTATATATGTTCACAATTTGTTTCCAATCACGTACTCTATTAATAAGGTAAAAACATTCTTTTAATATCTTTTTTTCTTGCTGACTGGCACCCTGAATTGGCCAATTTTCATCACTTCTTTAATTAATATAACTTAATAACTTTTAGTACATTCAGATATTCGAATAGTAAATATGTTGTTGATATAAAGTGTAAAGATTATATTTTTATAGATACTCGTAAAACGAATGCTCATGTTAAACATACGACACGTGCGCCGCAATGGCTTTATTAGTGATTTGGCGCCAAGTATTGGCGCTATCAAGTTATCACTTTGTAGTTATATTTTTTGCTATTTTTCTGCGCACAAAATATGATTGATCTGTTTTGGGTGATGTATTTTCGTAGCCATGGCTGCGAGATGATGGCGCTGACCCAGTTTCGTTATTTACTTTCAATAATATCTATGAATATATTCGCCGGACAAAAGAGAAACGAAAATAAATATTCTGGACCATTGTTGTTGCGTTCTCCGAGCTGCGAGTAAATTATTTATATTATACCAAAAAAGTGACAACGATGACGTCGTCGTTGTTGTCGCAGAAAACAAAACAAAACAAAATAAAAAACCAACAAACAAAAAACTGGTGCTATTAATTTGCCATATCCCCTTGGGTTTTCTGTATTGTTTGGCTTGTGGTCTTACTTAATTGGTTTTTCAGTTTTCCCAAAGTTCAACCCAATGATCAGTCATCATCGTTTACGTATACGTAATATTGCACTCGGCAAGTGCAGCCCAATGCCTCCGCAAATTTGTGGGCGTTTGTAACGCTCTGTAATAATAATACTGACAGAATGGTTAATTCGTATGCCATAAAGCTAGATACATTATTAAGTGCTAATTAGTGCCTGACATGAGTAATAATTTGCATTGCTAATTCGCGTTTTTGCTAACCTGCCATGGAAACAATTGACAGAAGCCAAAATTATATATGTTTTGTAGTCCGTGGGGGAAGCCGAAGAACTGAACAATTTATGAATACGAATGTTTATGCCCAAATTAATGTCGAGTTCTAAGAAACTATTAAGTCATTAGAAAAAGAGCTTCTTGGGCTTTTGTGTTTTTGTTTTGTTTTTTTGACAAGTGTGAAGTCGGCAATTTTGTCCCAAATTTGTGCAGATTTGGCTGTCGCATTTTTAACCTTTCGGGTCAATGCTACACTTGTAACCCCGAATATTTTAGATCTGAAACCCTTGTCATTGTCACACGACAAATGTTGGAGAGAGGAGTGAGAATAAGCCAAGAATAACCCAAGACAAGGGCACCATCAACCATGACAATTACATAATTACCAACTTGAGTGTGCTAGCAATTAACTCGAGACTCCACTCTTGATTGATGACACTCGCTGGGAATTAAGAATGCTGCTGCGTGTCCTTTGGATTCAATATTTACACTCGTTAACCAATAAAATTATTGAACATCAATTGAACCAATTTCCATTTTCCAATTTCCATTCTGAGGGCTGTCGAAGGCTGTTCAAACAGATTTAATCCAATAAATGGCGATTTAAAATGCATAATGTTGCCGCTAATTGTTACAACAAACCACAAAAGCTGATGCGAATGGGTTGGGTATGGCATTTTGGGGGAAGTGCGGGTCATCTGCCGGGTTCAATGATTATTAATCAAACGCCAGTTTAATTATGCGACTTGTTAGAGACGCCCAGACACTCGAGACGAGGCAGTATCGTACTTCTCATGTAATCACTCAGGGTCTTCAATTTTCCCGCGCACTGTGCGACTGTGGTCTGCCGCTTCAATTAAAATTCGTTCCGCCTATAAAATTGATCGGGCAAGCGAGTAGGTCCAAAAACTGAAATTTTACGAGCTCGCTTTTTTTGGCACTAGAATATGGAACTTTGGCTGTGTCTCTTTTCTTGGCGCCCAATCGAATGTCAAGTATGAATCCATTGACGACCATTTCTCTTGATGGCCCTTCGTCGTTGTGTTTTTTCTCCCCTCTGCATATATATATCTTTTTATTACTTAATATTTTTTATTTCTGTTTTTGGTAAAGTATTTTGATTGTTTTTTCCGAAGTTCCTCTGCAGTTTGTCGCCAGCTTTTATCGTGTGCGGTTCTTCTTTGACTTCGACTTTGGCTCCTGCGTTTCATTTTCTTTTTTTTTGCATTTTTAATTTTGTTGCCGATTTCGCCTGGATATCAAAACCAAGTAAGATTCCGCCGATATTTGAGTTGTTCGCTTTGGGTTTCGGTTCGCTGTTCTGACATTGAACTTGCCGCTTAATCATTGTCAAAACACACGATCGCCGATTGCCGATTGCCTAGACAAACAGAAAAAAACGAAGTGATTGCATTCAAGCTTTCAATAAACAAATTTGATTTTCTTCTAGTTTTATTTATTTTTTGGCTGACCGTATTTGCATTATAAATTAGTTCTCAATTTACCGCATAAACATTGACAAAGTGACATCATGAATTTTACACAGAAAAATAATGGCAGCTCATTAATATATAAATTCTAGTTCTGCTGTGAGATCTATATGTTAGTTTAAGTGATATATATAGTGCGTGAAAAATGTTATATATTTCTGAAAAGTTTTTCTTATTACAAATTGGTTTTAAATACAATACATTGGTTTTAAATACAATTTATAGATTGTTAACATACAAAAATAGAATCAATCTTAAAGTTTATTTTATTTTTCTTTGTGTATTTTGCTGTGTCAACATTTTATATGCCGAAAGATCTTTTTAAAGCTAACAGCAAACAAAAAAGCAAAAGTAAATCCGCAAATCTGTGGGCACAAACGATGCAGATGCGTGAAAAATGCGAGGGGAAGGGTAATTGAGCGAAAAGCGAAACGGAAATGAAGGAACTAAATGTTCCAAGACGGAATGATTTTGTTTGCTATTTTTAGCAATTTATTGCAGAACATGAATTATTTCCAAGTGCAGTATAAAGCGAATGTCAAGGTAAATGAATCTTTGATGGGGTCAAGTCAAAGGTTTTGATTCCACGCCCCACTGATTGCATTTATGCGATGTGATTTACTGACTTTAACCTCTAACTAACTTGGGGTCAACATTTATCTCTTTTTTTTTTGGTAAAATTGATGAAGAACATTTACTTATTTGGTTTTTCTTCCAACCCATTGCAGGCCAAAGAAGACAACATCAGCCAACGAGAAGTATTAAGAGGAGGCCAAACCCAAAAAAGCGAGGACAAGACAGCCGTGGACCCATGCAAATTCTGGTGAAATCTCTTTTCTGGTTCTGGATTTGGAGTTGAAGCTGAAAGTTGGTAGATACAGCTGGCAGATAGATTGCTTAGAGGAGCACCATTTCGTAGTTGGTGGGACAGTGTTTGTTTATTGCAACCATCGGCGAGATCCACACGATGCCAGGCCACTTGCACGCCATAGATCTTTGAGGCCAGGCCTGCAACATTTGGAGTGCAACGCCGTCGGTTGCTGCTGGTGGAGCAATCGGCCAGATAAATTCTAATAAATAGCCAGACAAAACAGAATACTTGGCATAAAAATAAATAAGAATCGAGGAACGCGGAACGAACAGCTCTCCGCACGCATTGCAACAGATTTTGGTGTTCGATTTTGGAATCGTATTTAGTTGAGGTGTGGAGTGCATTGGCCAGACGGAACGGGTCATATTCTGCTCCATACTTCTCCACCTCCTTCTAACTTCACATAGACGTAGGTCGCGGCCAAAAAGTGTTCCAGGCCAGAGGCATCGGCAACCGGAGTGAGGTGTACACTTTTGGCACCATGGAGGGCGGTTACGTCAACGAAGGTGAGTTGCTATTAAAATTCATTGATATTAAGTACGTGACTTGTGATAGCTTGTGAAGAGCTTTCCAGCGAATGCCTTTCTTTGATGCAATTCTTGCAATTATATTCAATTTTTATATGGAATGCTGTTGATTGCTTTGAGATTGAATGAATTTTTGCCGCTTTCTTTGTAATTCTTTGAATCGCTTTCCTAATTTCACTTTGCAATCTGAGTAGCTTGTAATGGAAATGAAATTTCATGCATTTCAGCAAAGTACCTTCGAGATATTTCAGGTTTCTCAGAAATATCCGATAAATGGTTCTTAATATTACTGAAGATTTATATTTTTGAATATTTGTTTCACACTTTGGTATTTCTTCACATTTTTGGGGTCACAAAACTTATATTTATTCTCGCCTTAAGATCATTTGTATAGTCCTAGGCCTGTAAAGGTACGAGTATTTCAGTTTACATACAACTTATAAGGTGAGCCATTGACACTCATTAGCTATTTAGTTCATTCAGATTCCTTCGTTAAAGTATATAATTTATTTCAAATAAAACTGAAAATAGAAATCATAAAAATTGTTGAAAAATCTTGGTCTTTGTTTCTGCAAATTTGCAAAATTTATTCACAAACCAAGTAATTTTAATTACTGAGAAATGTTTATTTCATCGGCCAATTATTCATAGTCGCCCACTATATATACATGTATAGGATATATCCGAACACCATATAGACACTTACATCACGACTGTTTTCGACAATGAATCCGTATTTTCTTTTTAATTCTTTTTTGTGGCATTTATACGATCAGTTCACCTACAAATACCTAAAAATATTTCCGCACAATGCAGAAATTCATTCAACAAAATACTGACAGATGTTTGAGCAAAAGTATTTGACTTTGAATTTGAATTTTACAGAATCTCAAAGAGATTCTCTGCGGTATGCTCAGTTCTGAGTTCTGCACAGTGACACCGAAATCTGCAATTTATTAGCAATGCAAATGCGAATGCAAATTATTCAAACAGACACTTCACTCACCATTAGTCAGAGCACTGAGGCAATACATCTAGATTTGCAATATTTTGTTTTTATTTTGGCAAACACTTTGGCTAATAGAAATAGACAATTACGTTACCTGACTGAGTCACGTCACATCACTAACCCAAATCACCAAATTCTTTCAAATATCTTGCTGCAGAGGATTCTGACGCCATAATGGGTGTGGAAAGTCCAGGTAAATTAAGAGATCTTCCATTTAATTACTTGCTTTAACAAACGTAACGTCTTCATAACCAGCACATAATTATGAGTCTGTAGAGTGGGTAAACTGGCTTAGAATGTTATGATTGGGAGGGCTATCCACTTTGTGACGCCCTATTAAAGATCTGAGATATGTGTGGACGAGCAGGAAAGCCGGTTTGCCCACAAGTGATTTCCCCAGTTCTAGTAAAGGGCCCCAGTCCGGTCGCTGACTCTATATGTTGTGACGCCACAACTGCCAATGTCGCATTAAAATATTTTTTGCTTTGTTTTATTTACATAAGAGGATTAACGAATGTAAATCACAGACCAAATTGGCCATGCCTCTCATCTTTGATTCTCGGTACGAAGATGTATCGGTATGCAAAAAAGTTCTCCATATATTGTAGGAAAAGGCGAACTATAAAGTAGTCAGCCTGCTGACAACTTTGCGTTCCACAAAAGGCAAAACTGTCTGTCAGACGGATGCTGGGGGATTTCAATTAATATTCATTTGGGAGAAGGCAAAAACTGTCATAAATTATCGGTTTTGCAGTCGGACGGACGACGAGTTCCTTGAGCGGCGTCTTCAAGTATGTGGCGTCAAAAGTGCAACGCGGTCACGCTTTCACGGGTAGAAAATTGTTTTTTGTTTTTGGTTTTTGGTTTCTGGGGCAAGCTCATGATGTCATTTTGCGGAGCCAGCAAGTTGTTTTTTTTAAAGGATTGCAAACAAAATAAAACGATAATAAATTGGCAGTTTCGTGAAGGCAACGTTATTCAGTTTGATTCCAGGAATTCTTTGGAGCCAGCATTAAATCTCATATATCTTTTTGGCCATGATTTTTTTAGGATCGTCTGATGCGGTTTCTCTTTCGTTTAGTCTGCCCAAAGTCGATCTCCGCCTCCTCATCTCCAGTCATTGGATTTGGCTTTGTTTATAGAATTCACAAGAATTTCGGATGGCAGTCGAAATTTATATTTATTTGCTCTTGAACTCGGAGCATAAACACACTTCGCAGCTGCGCAAATGGGTTTAATGAAGACAGCTGAGTGCGCCATTAAATTTTAATTAAACTATGTTTAGTTTCGGTATTTATGACAATGTAAAAATGATTGTAAACAAGAGAAATTTGTTTGTAAATCAAACACCAAAAAATTCGTCATGGTTGGTCCGCTCTTACAATGACCTTGTGACCTTGCCCGTGCTTTGAACTATAAATTTTATATTCACATGCTTGTAAGAACTTAAATAAAAGCCCAACGATGACGACAGCATGACAAATGCCAGGGCCCAAAAATTTATGGGCAACACTCGTGGCAAATACACTGGACAAAGGGTATTAGTCTTGTAGTGACAAGTGTGAAGGAAAAAATTGGAAATTGAAAGATAAACGATTAATTAATGATCTTAATCTGTTTTCTTTTATTTTGGAACCCATAACAATCTATAATATTTAGAGTGTTTAAAAGTAGACTTACTTCTCTAACTTTTCCATCCACATGCTTCCATTTGTCTGCTCTTCAACTTGACCTCTAGAGCAATGCGTGGACAAGAATGAGACTATTTACATAATCATACATGATAAGCTATCATAATTAGCATAAACCTCGTGAAGAAGCCGAAATGAAGGCGTTAAGCCCAACACCTCCAACTTATGACAGATAAATACTAAGCAGATATTAGGTGTGCTAAAAACAAGTTTTAATTGCCGTCAGACAGCTTTGCTTGGGCATTAAGTTTGCTTTTTTTTCGAATCGTTTAAGGTGTTCAATTACACGACATGGAAAATGCATCTCATGTGGCTCAATGTCGGAATTTGAATGGTGGGATATTGGACATTCGATATGATTTACTCTTACGATCAATTGTCCAAAGACATTTGAGTGACACAATAACCGAACAGACAGTCAATATAGACAAATTGCTGATGCCGCGATTCGATCATTTCTATTTTCACCTACTGTCCGCATTTCCCTGAAATGTCAGTTTTCATTGCCGTCTAAAAGTATTTTCCCCTTACTATCGATTGTGGTCCAAGTTCATGCCACAATCGCTGGCCAATTGATCGGTTGCATTAAGAAGAACACGTGATTTGCATTTAAATTGTTTTTGGACTTGTCCTCGCCCAACTGCCACCGAATTCTTCGCAAGTTGCCTTGTTTATTTGCATTGGAACCTCGCTGGTTTTGAACACGCAGAAAAATATAAATATAAAGCATATATAGGTGTTCCTGACTTCAATTTGCTGGAAAAATAGCAAAAATTAGAGGAATTTCCTTTTTGACTTAATAGTTTTTATCTTTGAAAGTTAAGTTGAAAGTTTGTAAGTGCTCAGAGCACTAACTGATAAACCAACTTTATTTAAACTCAAACATTTTCCCAGTGCACTTCGCCGGTTTTGGCCATGAACGAGTACCGACTTGACCAACAACCAGCGGCCAAGCAATCATGGAAATGACGTCAGCTCGTGGCGCTCTTGTGCATACAATTGAAATCAATTTGCAGTAGCGCCAATTGCTGTTGACACATTTCATCTAAGGAGTTTCATTTCATTGCGAGCAATGAAAACTATGCAATTGCTCATATGGATATGCAAATTTTATTAGTCAGCAGCTGTGTTTGCGCATGCGCAGCCATGTTATGCGATTCTCAATGGGGCAACGTTGCCAATTTTAAGCATGAGAAAGTCAAGAAGTCATCAAACTTTAAGCTACCTTATATGGCTAAATAATATTCATGATAGGAAGTCAACTTTGAGTTAGGTAAAACCTTGTCAATTTTTAAACTAAGAACAACCTAAGCACTTTTTTGTCGATTTTATCTTGGCTAAGACTAACTGCCTGTCAAATCTTAAGCATTTTCAACCACATTATTTTGCAGCTTTATTGGCAATAATAAAATTAAATAATTTATTTTAATGGTCAGTCGAGTTAAATGGGGCTAAGTGATTTTCGGTGTAGATTTCGAGCTCGATTTTGGCATGCAAATTTGTGGTTTTTCTTTAACATTTTCCAAGCGAAATTAGTCAAAATGGCCAACAAAAGACCAGAGGCAGCTCGTGACTTAGCCACCGACAATGTGGACAGCAGATTGGAAATGCATCAAAGTAAACGGCGTTGAAGGCGAAAGATGCTATCCGTCAGTCTGATGTCTGAAGTCTGAAGTCTAAGGCCTCCTGCAAAAGCCGGCACGTATTTGAAGCCCCATAGATTGGCGTTTAATAGTTAGATAAATTGTCGGGCCTCTGGCACCTGAGCTGCATAAGACTTTTGGATCTTGGCGAACGTTTGTCATAATGCGGAACAGATTCCTATCTGCCATTGTATGCTTGGCTGACTGCACATACAGAAGACAGTGGGTGAAGTTAAGTGCAGATTTATGGGTACTATCTGCAGCGAGATCTGAGCAAACTTTGCCACCCACACAAAATTCATAATTGGATTACTCCAAATTCCCATAATTGGCATCCGTAGGCCAGCTCTAAATTGGCAAAAGAAAAAAGTTTTAACGGAAATGTAAAAAAATCCCCATGGCAATTAATCAATTTTTTTTTATAATAAAAACGGACCTTGGGCTGTGGTGGCGTAGGCTGTTCCGACGATTGGACACTGACAAGCCCTCGGGCAGAGATCGTGTATGTGGGGGGATTTTTTCATGCATATGTTGGTTCTGAGGTGTTGCTGGCTTCATTAAACTCAAATTAGCTGCCCCTCTCGTGGCAGCGGATAAATGACAACGATAAATCAAACACCATCCAATGCCACAATTGCGAGTGGATCTGGTGGATCACAGGGCCTGGATAAGTCCACGCATGCAAGATCTAAGGAATTAGTATAAGCCACTAGCGATAAATATGTTTTTCGAGGAAAACCTTATTCATATTGGCCATCATTTCCTTAGATCTCCGGCTAATGAGTAGCTATATTCGTAGATCCTTACACACACACATTTCTGACAGGCAATTATAAATAAAATGTTTTGAAAATACTTTCACCAAAAAGGCGTGACAATGTCACTGCCAGCTAGCTGAAAACGAGAGCAAAATAATTTGGCTCACATCCAAATGGCTACCGATTAAATGAGTCTCATAAAAAACGAAACCTAAAAAACAAAACAAAATGTCAAGTTTACGCTGTGGGTCCATAATTTAAAATGCGAATATTTCCTGCAAAGTAAATAATAATTTAGATATTTAGAAATAGATATAGATATCAGTGTATAATGACCAAATGATTGGTGACATTTTAATTCCCATCAAGGACAGCTAACGCTGACAGAGAGGAAAAGAAAGAATATTAAATTATATCAAATCATGGTTTATGGTCGTTTCGAAATTACGTGCCAATTTAGTTAATGATTTGATATTGGTATCCATCAAAGGCGTGACTTTGGAAAACGGGTGGGTCTAGTCAGATCTTACTTTCGATAAGTACTAAAATGTTACCTGCATATAAAACAGCCATCCTTGTTCTTTACAAAGTAAACAATTGACCATAAATAAAATATTTGAATTTCCATAACTATTGTCAAATAACTCAGCCACTGAAGGTTAGTGTTAGTTTCTAATAAACTTGAGTAAACTCATTCATAAGTTTCAGAATTTTGTTCAATGAATGAATGACTTTTTTGTTGACTTGCAAAAATGTCAGCAATTGAAAAACGCTTAAACGGTTTATTTCAAAAATGCCAGCCAATTTAGTCGTTAAATCAGAAACTCATCAAAATTGTTGCATGTCATAAAACAATCAAAACTACATAAAGAAAAAACGCAACGTTTCTTCTTATCAACTGCGGAAAATTGTAAAAAATAAGAAATTTTTTGCTACTTTTGCTTGGATTACGTGTCGTCGATAATTAAAACACAAAACATTTTTTAGGGGCTTCAAAGCTTGAATAATGGAAACAGTGAAGCAGCAGAAAGGGGCTTCTTTAAAGAGCCTCTTATAACATTTACGACTAAGGCCCTGACAACTCAAATAGAGAAGTGCTTT